CTGCTCCGGTGGATTTGATTTTGGAAACGATTGAGTGAGCACCCCATATGTAACGGAGGGAATAGACACTAGACCAAATACCCTAGGTCAGCAAGGCCCTGTATTCATCGAGTCGGATGGCTACAACAACCTTCACTCCTCCATGGTTAACTGGCCCAACCTGCGTTCAAACGGCAGGTGAATGTGGACAGAAGACCGTTCACATATCCTCTGTTTTCTCGGAAGAATTCCGCTTGGCTCCGCGCGGTTCGGCCCTCGCTGAAGACTTGAAAGTTCAGCCTAAAGTAAGACAAATCCCAGCCAAAAACTGCGAGTCCGTTCCAGCAGCTTCAGATCGACGGTCTTTCCATAGGCTTCAGAAAAACGTCCAGAAGTCGGTCAGGAAAGCACTGTGCCCTCAACCAGCTGTTGGACTTCCCATATCCTCACCACAATAATCTTCAACGCCCCTCCCTCCCGCTTACTACCGGCAGTGACAGCAACAACAGAGGAGAATACTAATGCTTCGTTGCCTCACAACCATACCGATTTATCTGAATAAGGGCTTATGCAGCAAAGACAAAAGAACCGAGGCAGGGGGAGCATCCAAGCCCAGCCTATGACAAACATCTGAGTTGCCCAGGCCACGTCACTCGGTCGGACAAGCTGTATAGGAATTGACAACACGAACGCTACTGCAGCCGATTGGCTACCATGGTCTCAGTGCTCCCCAGTCTAGCGCAGTCAGGGCACATGGACATCATTCTGGGTAGCATACAGCACCTATAGCGTACAAACTTTTCGATATACCTTCACTCCCCTCCGCCACCTCATCACTGTAGGCCCTGTACCCAGGATTTTGCATCATAAAACCCTCGGAACGTAACTCGCCTTCACATTTGGTTTGCGTCTTGATCCGTCGACCCACATAAATTTACCACTCTCCGGGAACATCGCAGGTTTACTTTTATTCTACCCAGGTGAAACACGCTCCCTAGCATGCGCATACTGGAAATGGCTTGGTGATAACGACAAAATTTGTTTGCGTTCTGTCATTTTTCTTATCCGGAGGACCCATCTCAACCTTAATAATTTTTACCTTGCGCAACTCAGTTAGCTCAGTCGCTCAGTTACAACTCAGGTCTCGTTCAGGCCCTGTATTGAAACAGCCCATCGCTATACCTCACACACTTGGGTTCAGCGACCAGTTGCCTAGCAGCCGCCCAAGTCATGGTGATGCGAAAACTTCTGTTTTCGACAGATTACCCATTACAGATCAGGATTGTCTATCTACTTTGCTGCCCGGCTTTTTTTCACGATCAGTGGCTCTTGCTTGCGATTTTCATGATATTCGATCAACTTTACTCGCTGCCCCGTTGAGACTGCTATCGGTGTCAAGCTGGCGATCACCTGTGCTTTCGTCTTCGAACATGCGTGTAATTCCTACCCTATGTACATTACCATAAGAGGTCTGACCGAGAAATTCATGCCCTTCCAGCTGCCGCACGAATATGAACCCGGATGCGGGTACTAATCATTCGGGTCTTCGAGCCTGGGGCATGTTCTGACACCCATGTTCACTGTACTTGTTGTTATGTACGTTGTGTTTTGATACAACCCATTTGTTCACCGGAACCAGAAGTCAGATGCCCCCGTAGCCCTGATGGACGCATGTCCATTTCGGTTGCAGGCAAAAATCTCCCCAAAGGCTTTCGAAATATTGACCATTTATTCATCCTTTGTTAAGTTGTGGAGAGGATTGCCGACCGATTCTGACTAATTTCCGGAGCAACCCATAAACCGCATCAAGTTCACATGGGGCCGCTCATATCGAGCAGACGTACCCAACCTCCCATCAGCCTCATCAAAGCCGCGGGGGGCCAGAATTTAGACCGGCTGCTTTCTTTGCTGATTCCGTCGTTTCTCTGACATGACCTAAAATAATGCGATAGCCCTGCCTTCCATGGTTTATGTGGCTTTGAAACTCATTTTAACAAACTCCATGATGAACCATCGATTTGCGGCCAGAACTGTTGGTATTCCCTTGGGAATCCATCAAGAAGTGAACCCTAGTGTATTCGTGGATGCGTCAAGCGCGCTAAGATTTCTTATAAACAATCCTGTTTCTGGTTGTTCATCCGGAAATACGCCATGCACATCGAATTTGCTTTATTACGGTTCTACGGACGTTTTGTTTAAGGTGACCAGCAATTCAAACTGTCAGTCTTCACTAGAATCGTAGTTGCTTAGCACGAGGCCGAGTTATGTTTCCCTATCAAAAGCGCATGGGTGACCTTCGATACGCCGGCATACGTGGTTTTTATTTAATTTCATATCGTTTTCCTGAGTGTCCGTGCTCGGTAGCCCTTACACATATGGGTCGAGTGGTAGTCTCACCCAGCATTTGTGCACTCAGCAGATAAAAGCAATCAGCACTCCACAATTTAATATTGGCCACAGTAACTGCGGTAATAATATCAGTATTCTTAAAACCAGTTTTTGCCTTCAGCTTTTCAACAAACTACTGGCAGCGAAATGAGAATACTGGATTCAGAAGTCAGTTATAAACAGCACCTGAAGTACATTAACAAAGGGCGTAATTATGGTTTTCAGAAAGCGATTAAAGGAATCTCTCTAAGTTGCTAAAATCTGGATTGCGATTTTGGGCTAGTGGTTCTTTTAGCAAGTGGTGTGTGGGGCGGAGGGTGACTCTCAATGCAAACTTCTTGAACCCTTGGCATTGCCAAATTGCTCATGGCCGGCAAAATAGTCGACCATCAACTTGACCACACATTTAGTTGTGAGTAACAAACCCAATGTATCAGATGATGAGGTCGCAGAATTGCGTAACAGCAACGCCATGACAACCA